AAAAAAAATCTTCTGTATATATGTGAGGTTGGATTATGTTTTTCTCCCCCCGCCGGATAATATTTTTCTTCTTGTGTTTGCCTCATTTCACTCAGCATACTGTCTTCGCTCTCCACTCATGCTGTGGCAGGCCTCAGGGTGTCATTTCTTCTCCTGGCCGAGGGGCGTTCCTTTGTACATATGTACATTCTGTTTACCCATCCCCTGGGCACCGAGGTGGCTTCTTCCTTTGGAAGTTGGGAAGAGTGTTGCAGTGCACGCGGGTGTGTCTGCCTCCTGCAGGGTCTCTGCTTTCCAGTCTCCTGAGTTTCTTGTTTGCAAATGGTCTCGGCCTGTTCCCAGAGTCTGGCTTCCGAGAGCTGGCAGGGTCACAGGGATGAACCAGCTACTGTCTTAGGTTCCCGAGGATACAACTGAGTGAGGCCCCGAGAAGGGCGTGATTGATACTAGTGGTACAGAGGGCACAGCAGCCCAGGATGACAACCTACAGACAGATATGCTGCCCCTCTGTGCATTCTCCATGACCCCTTCAGGGTGGTGCCGACAGCTGGGCCCCTCCGCCCGGTGAGGTCATCACTGCTGAGTATAAGGCGAGGACTGCACGTGGCCACTGGAAGCCAGGCATTTGTGCACCTGTCACTACGACAGTCCTGTTTTCACAGACAGACCTCACTACCGACACTCCAGTCAGCGTACTCACCATAGCACTACGACTGGGCCCGTATCCGAGCACACGACCCTGTCCTGTGCGAGGCCCCCTCGCGCCCCTTTCGGACGAGTATTATAAGATTGCATGGAGGAAGGCCTGCCTGCGATTTAAATGGAAAGAATTTGTCTTTTATAAGATGGCATTTCTAGGCTTGACCCTGTATTGGTCTTTGCCAGGTTCTTGGCCAAGTGGCCTTGGGCTGTCTACAGAGCTGGAGAGACCAGGAGGCAGTGGCAGCTCCTCAGCGCTGAGTTCTCCTAACTGGAATAAGCTGACTGGCAAGGCCTTCAGCCAATCCTCTAGGCGCCCTGGAAGCCTCACCTTTGCCAGTCGGTATTAGGACACGGGTGACTAATGGCCCCAGTGGGTGGGATGAGTCCTAACTAGCAAGGGCTTGGAGCCCAGCTGCTCAGAAAGAGAACAAGCAATTGGCAGGCCTGCTCTGCATGCTTCCCTTGGATCAGCAGTACCTGCTGGTCTGGCGGGAACTTCTCTAACCCCAGGTCTGAAGAAATTCAGAAAGAAGAAGTCAGGGCTTCAAAAAAGCAGAAAAGACATTCTGAGGAAGCATTTGGCACAGTTGCAAGCAGTACATTCAACTGGCAAAATGCTTGACGATTATTTTCTAGACAACTCCACATCTCAGCAGGAGAAGTTCAGCTCAAACAAGTACAAGTACTTCAGCCCTGGACAAAATTAGTTCAATTACTCATGCACATTCAAAGGTGCTTAATTAAGTGTAACAGCATGGTCAGGTCAGGTCTGCACTCTCAGGTCAGGAGCCAATTTACCAGCTGGGCAGATGCAGAAAACCAAAGCAGAGCAGAGGCTAGCTGTTTGTACGAGAGCACTCCAGAATAAGGAATGCCACTCTTTCTATGACAGACAGAGATGACACTGTGTTTCCACAAGTGCCTGTGTCTGAGTCCCTGGCTACCGAAGAACTCACAACACTCATGCTCCTCGGAGTCAGCGGAGGTGGGGGCATTCTCGTCACTTGACACTTGTGGGAACTGAGTCAGCGCTAGCCTGGACTCCACGTCCTGCTCTCTGGGCTGGTCCACTGTGCGTCACGCCTGTGCGCCCAGCTGATGAGCTCTGCCCGCTGGTCATGGACCCAGGGACTAGGTATTACATGTTTAGCAAAATGCTCGCTATAGACAGGGTGCTCAAAAATGAATAATTCTTAATACCTATTATCAGAATAAGAGTGGAATTTGATTAGTGACTTTAGAAAACATCCTTTTGTCAGCAGAACTTGTGAGCAGCAGAACCCCACCTACAGGGCTGCAGATACAGGGGAATGACCCTGGTTGTGGCACGGGTCACGGGGAGGGCGCAGGCCCATTGCCCCACCTGCTCAGCCTCAGTCTCACCACTTGTGTGAGAAAGAGTTTACAACCATGGGCTTCTATACCATTTAAGGTCACTAGGTCTGTGTTTTATAAGTCAGATTTAGAGCCAGTAAACTATTACATGAGCTGAGTCTCTGAGTAATGGAATAGTTAAGCACTGACTACTCACTACAAGGTTGGCGGTCTGAACCCACCCAGAGGTGCATTGGAAGAAACTTCTGGGGGTTCTACTTTTGAAAGGTCTCGTCCCTGAAAATCCTAGAGTGCAGTCTTACTCAACACACGTCAGGTCCCCAGAAGTCAGCATTGACAGCAGCAGGCTGGTTTGGTTGACTTCAGTGTGCTGGGACTGTTATTTCCGTATCGATCCCGACCACGTTGAGCAGACAGGGCTTTCTGGAAGGCACTGGCCACCAATGACAGCGCAAGGAGATTTTCACACAGACAGAAGGCCCCAAACTGCAAATGACGGGGGAACTATGCTTCCACCTACATGGAGTACCTAGAAGGGGCCCACACTGACAGACAAGGTGGACTGGTGGTTTCCAGAGGCAGGTGGGAAGGGGAGGGAGGAGCTATTGCTTACAGAATCCCGAGTTTCTGTTCAAAGTGATGAAGAAAATTGGAAATGGACAGTGGTGATGGTTGCATGACACACAAAATGCCATTAGTGTTACTGAAGTGGACATGGACAAATGGTAATTTTTTTGTTCCATATACACCACCATCACCTCCTCCTCCACCACTACCACCACCACCACCACCTCCACCTCCACCTCCACCTCCATCACCACCCCTGAAATTAAAAGAACGCTTTCCCCTCTTGAAAACTGAGGTTTTAGTGAGCCCCACTTTCTTTTAAACATTTTCCAAGTTCTTCTCAGAACTCAGGGGGACACAGAAAACGTGGAGGGTGTGGGGAGGAAAGCCGCCAGTAGGCCCTCAAATAGGTTAATCACTCAGATGATAGCTTAGCTAACTAATCTTTACCTGAGATGCCCTTTCTTTACTCAGAGCCCTGGCTTTCCCGAACTACATACATTTGAACTCAGCGGGAACCCTCAGTGGCCAGGGCTTTGGACAGGAACCAGCTGGTACGCCCAAGGCCTACCTCTGTGTGGATGATGCTGGTCCCCACATTCTCAGGGAAGGGTGTCCCACTGGCCGCTAGTCTCAGTTGCCCGAGGCTGGCCTGGCACAGCTTCCTTGGCTGCGACTGCTACTCTTGGTTCTGGGGAAGCTGAGGGTGTTTTAATCTTTTTGTTTTGAGGGGTGGCTTCTTGTCAAGTGAGAGCTTGGGGACTCAGTAGAGGCCTAATGGCAGTTCTCAAATAAGTACAAATAAGGTCACTGAGCACTTTTCTTGAGAGCGAGAACAAAGGGATATAATTAGGCACACAGAGGGGTCAGCCTGTGCTCCCTGGGCAGTCACCAGAGCAGGAACAGTGTCTTGCTGTGTTCAGTGGGCGGCTGCTTGGTTCTCTCTGTGCCCATCAGAGCAGGAGCACAGATTACTGCCAGGTGAGCACAGAAAGCTGCAGGCTCCCTGAGATCCTCTGGCAGGAGCCTCCCAGGCCCCCAGCTCTGTCCAACAGCCTGAAAGAACCCCACAGAGCTGCTCCACCCGCCAGGGACCGAAACAAGCTGGAGGGAGGACCTAGGTGGTGTACTTCCCTGGGGTAGGGCCAGAGGGCCCTTGGGGACCTCAGTGCCGCCTACTCCGGACCTGGGGGTGGCGCTGCCCTTCCAGCCGGAGCCGTCTCAGAGCATACCTGTAGGTCTTTGTCGTGGCTCTGCCGCTCCAGGATCAGCACCCGGTCCTGCAGCTCCTCCACGGTCCCCTGGAGCACGTCGTTCTCCTCCAGGGTGCTGCTCAGGCGATGCTCCAGCTCCCGTTTCCGATCCGACAGCATCTTGATCTGAAAGGGTGGAGAGCCACAGGGGTGGTGTGGGGTAACTCTGGGCTGGCCTGCCTTGCTCCACTGCTCACCATCACCTCCACTCCCACCCCCAGACACGCGTGTGCTGTCCTGGGGTTCTGTGCCCTGGCTCCAAGAAAATGCTGTGCAATCCTAGGCTGAAGAGAAAACTCCTCCCCTCTAGAAACCTGTCAGGGAAGGGGTGGGAGCTGGCTTTCAGGAAGATGGAATGTCGGATGCCAGGCAGAGGAAGGCAGGCCAGGGCTCTGGAAATTCCAGAGATAACCACCGGGGCCCCACCTTTCCAGCCTGCCCCCAGCTTTACCCTGAGCGCCCACAGTCCATGTGTGTGGTGGGGCCTGGAGCCTACTCTTTCCTTTCCCTTGCCCTGTATCCCCGCTCTCCTTCCCCACGGCTATTCTGGCTGCCTCGGAGCTCAGCCCCGGGCAGTGCAGGAACGGACAAAGTTGTTCCCGAGTCTGCCTGCCTGAGTCCCGGGTGGTGACCTGTCCAAGACACAAGTGACTGATTGCACGCCCACTGTCCGTTGAACTTGTGAATCAAAGCCAGTCCTTTGCTCTTTTTATCTGGGATGGTCTGTGGAGTACCTAGCCAGCCTTGAGAGAGAGACACGCTCTTGTAGGAAGGTCTAGTCTCTCCAGTGTCCGTGAGAAAACGGGGA